TAACCATTAATTAATTGGCACTAGAAGGATTTTTTTCTTAACATGAGTAAGTTACGCACACACACTCACTCAGAAACACATATACAGTACACAGTTGACATTTGTAATAGTTAAGCAGCACTCACACTAAAGTTTTTACCTGAGTAGTGCCTGTTTACACCAATGTTATTTATTATTAACTATAGAATAAAACAGTAAATCAGATATGCTGTACCCAAGAAGAAAAGTGTAAGAGGAGAACATAAATATTATTATTTGAAATACAATGATGTGTATCTTGAAAATACCTGATATGTACATATATGTATATGTGTTTATAATATAGAGTTATAGAAAATGAGTTTAGTAAGGTGACTGGTTGACAAATAAGTATAAAAATCAATAACTTTAGTGTGTGCCATTTAGAAAATGCAATGGAAGAATGATACTACTTATGGTACAGTACAGAAAAACATATACATAGAAAAAATTAACAAAAATACATAGGATTGAAAAAAAGAAAATTCTGTCAAACTCCACTAAAATCCAAAGGAAAGAGCCCTGGAAAATATAAAAAAATAACACTTCTCCAAAGGTGAACTAATAAGTCAATGTAATTCCAAAATTAAATGCAAAGTAACCATTTACTTAATAGTAAAATAAGTCTGAAGTTCACATAGAAAAATAAACATGTGATAGTAGTCTAAAAAAGAATATGGTGAGTGAAAAAATGGCTCTGCAAAATATGTATTGCCACAGAGTTACAACATAAGAATTGGTAGAAAAGAGAAACAAATTCTTATGGAAGCTCTTAAATATGCACAGAAATAGTGCAACATTTTTGTGCGTGGCAATTTAAGGCAGGAAGGGAAAAGACAAATTATTCTTTAAATGCAGTTCCTACAACTACCTAACCATTTGTGAAAAAAATACATGTGAGACTCTCCTGGTTTCTCACACAAAAACAAGTTCCAGATGATTCAAAAATTGTAATGGATTAAATAAAAATAAAATGTTACTTGAATTCTGATTTCATGAATTAATTTTAAAAATAGTATTGGAATAGAAAGAACTTATTTATAAATATAATATGTAAATATGAAACAATGAAAGAAAAATAAAATCATCTGGATGGAAAAATATTAGATATATTTTGATCAACTCTAACATTATCTGTCTTTTAATTGGCACTTTAGGCCACTAACATTCAAAGTTTTATTGATAATGTTCAATATCTACCATATTTTGTTACTGTTTTCTATTTGTTGCCCTTATTCCTTGATGTATTTTTGTCTTTACTATTTTTCTGCCTTTTATTGTTTTAATTTGGCATCTTATATAATAAAAGCCTAATATGCAAATTCACCAAATGGCAGATGGACCAGCAGAATGACCGGTCACTATGACATGCACTGACCACCAGAGGGCAGATGCTCAACACAGGAGCTGCCCCCAGCCTGCAGGCCCCAGGCCAGCCAAGGCAGGTGCCAGCAGGGGCTCCCCGATCACCCCGCCAGCAGTCCCGCAGAGGGAGGTGACCAGCAGCGGTGGTGGGGGGCAGGGCCAGCGAGTTTGCAGTGCCAGGATGGCCAAGGCAGGTGCCAGCAAGGGCCTCCTGATCGCCCCGCCAGTCACCCCACAGATCAGCCCTGATCACTGGCCAGGCCTAGGCCAGGCCTACCTGTGCACAAGTTTCATGCACTGGGCCTTTAGTCCCATATAATAAAACCCTAATATGCAAATAGATCAAACGGCAGCCGGTCACTATGATGCACACTGACCACCAGGGAGAAGACGCTTAATGCAGGAGCTGTCCCCTGGTGGTCAGTGTGCTCCCAGAGGGGAGCGCTGTTCAGCCAGAAGCTGAGCTCATGGCTGGCAAGCACAGTGGTGGTGGTGGGAGCCTCTCCTGCTTCTGCTGCAGGTGGGAAGTAAAGAGTGAGGGGTTCTGAACTGAGAGAGGGTGCAGGTCGGGCTGAGGGACCCCCTCCCTCCAGTGCACAAAATTTCATGCACTGGGCCTCTAGTTTTATATTTTTCTCTCCTTTCTTAGCATATCCATTATAGTTCTTTTTTTTCTTTTTTACTTTTTTAAGTGGTTGCCGTAGAATTTGCAATATACATTTTCAACTAATCCAAGTCCCCTTCCAAATAACACTACATTACTTCATAGGTAGTGTGAATACCTTAGAATAGCAAAGTAATCCCGATTCCTTCCTCCCATATTTCCTATCATTGTTGTCATTCACTTTATGTAAGCATACATAAGTGTGTGTCTATAGTACATATGGTATACACATAGCACGCAATCTATGTTGGCATTATATTTTGAATGAACTCCTCTAACAATTAATAGTAAGAAAAATAAAATGGTTAATGTTTTTATTTCATCTTCCCTTATTCCTTCTTCAGTGTTTTTCCTTCTTTATGTGGATTCGAGATTCTGACCTGTATCATTTTCCTTCTCTCTAAAGATTTCTGTTAACATTTCCTACAAGGCAGGTGTACTGGCAACAGCTTCCGTCAATATTTGTTTGTCTGAGGAAGTCTTTCTTTCTTCTTTAATTTTGAAGGACAATTTCACAGGGTACAGAAATATATGTTGTTATTTTTCTCTCAACTATTTATTTCAGTTCATTCTCCTCTTGCTTGCATGGCTTCTGAGAAGAAGTCTAGTGTAATTCTGATCTTTGTTTTTCTGTAGGTTAGGTGTTTTTGGTGCTCTTCCCGCCACCCCACCCCCCTTTGAGTTCTTTCAGGATATTTTTCTTTATTTTTGATTTTCTTTAATTTGAAAATGACTAGGTATAGTTTGTTGTTGCTTGGCGTTTATCCTGTTTGGTGTTCTTTAAACTTCATGGATAAATGACTTGGTATGACTTGGTATCTGACATTAATTTGGGTAACTTTTCAGTCATTGTTGTTTCTAGTGGTATTACTTCTGTTACTTTCCCTCTGTCTTCTCCTTTTGTCATTCCCATTATGTATGTTATACCCTTTTAAATTGCAGTAATCGGATACTCTGTTCCAAACAGGTTTTTTTTTCTATTTGCTTTTGGTTTGAGGCTTCTAATAGTACCTGGTATATAACCTCCAGGTCAGAGCTTATTTCCACAGCTGTGTTCAGTCTACTAATAAGCTCATCAAAGGCGTTCTTTATTTCTGTTACAATGTTTTTATCACTGGCATTTCTTGTTTTATGCCTTCAGAGAATTTCCATCTCTCTGCTTACATTGCCCATCTGTTCTTGCATACCATTTACTTTCCCTTAGCATATGAATTGCGTTTTAAATTCCCATTCTTAAGTCCAACATCCCTGCCATGGCTGGTCCTGATGCTTGCTCTGTCTCTTCAAGTCGTGCTTTTTGCTGTTTGGTATGCCTTGCTTGTAATTTTTTCTTGATCGCTGGACATGCTGTGCTGGGTAAAACGAATTGCTGCAAATGGGCCTTTAGTAATGTGAGGATGAGGTGCAGGAGAGAGAGAAGGGAAGTGTTCTACAGTCTTAAGATCAGGCTTTCATTGAGCATAGCCTCCGGACTGTGAACTTCACGACACGTTTGCCCGTGTTTTCCTCACCTCTTTGGTTGAATAGGATGGCTCAGGTGGGCTGCATTTGTATTCTCCTCTCCCAGCTCAATTAGGCTCTGAGAATAGCCCCGCAGGTGAAGTTCTGGTTAAAGGATTAACTAGTTTCACCGGAGGACAGACCTTATTAAGACAAACACTGGGCTCTGACCTGTTTGTCAAAATGGCTCCTTTCTCCTTCGCTTACTGGATGTACAAGCGGGTTTTTCTTCGGTGTTTGACCTCAGAACCGGGTTGAGCTTCTGGGGTAACTCTCCCCAAATTATTGGAGCCCCTATCACTCGGTACCTTCCCTTTGGAGTGTTTAATGCTCAGACTTGTCTGCACTGAGCCTCCAGCAACTTGTCAACCTGCAGCTCAGGTTTTTCTCTCCTGGCACTGGTTCCCAAGCCCTCTCCACGCCTGGGTCCCTGCTCTGGTAAGCCTCAACTTTCTGTGTTCTCCTGTCTGCTCCTCTAATTTGGGGGGGCTGCGGGAGCGGGGGCAGCAGTTTGCTCTCTGCTCTCTCCTCCCTTATGGATCCAAGAAGAGTTCATTTTTTGGTCTGTTTGACTTTTTACTTGTTAGGATGATGCATGCAGAACTGGAAAGTAGAAGGGTAAATTAGATTTCATTTTTTTTTAAATTTCTTTATTGGTTAAGGTGTTACAAATGTGTCCTCATCCCCCCCATTAACCCCCAACCTAGAAAATGTTTAGGACATTTGTACTTAAAGCTTTAGTGAAACAGTAAATAGTTTGTTTTTCTAAAAACATACAAATTGTTTTTAAAAACACTGAATAGTCATTTTTCAATGTAAGAGGTACAAATGATAAATGTATCTGAAGTTATTAATTGCATTAGTAATCAAGAAAGGCAAATTAGAGTATGAATAATATATGTGTCACCAGTAAATTTTGAAATACCATCCAATGCTTCTGCAGATGTGTGAAAATTACCAAACTTACTCTAAAGATATTCTAGCAATTCTCTTTGTAGGAATTATTCTTCCTTCTCCAAAAAGACATAACTAGGAATATATAAACAAAGATGTTCATTTCAACATTGTTTATAATTAAAAAAATTAAAGTATATTTTCAGTGGAATGGTCTAAATGGTGCTGCAATGAAATGATGTCAATCATTGGAAGTAAATGAAAAGATAGCTTTTTGTACAATTATGTCAGATAAAATCAAATTATACAGCTGTATGGATATTACACTCAGAATGCAAATGTTAGGAAACATACACCGAAAATCTATCTTGAACATATTTCTTTTTCCTAAATAAAGTAGTAACATAAGATGGCATAATCAAATCTTACTGCTGGTGCCTTCTGTGGAGTATGCTAACAGGTGACTAAGGAAATATACACTTTCAAAGCGTATTATCTGTGTTAGAAAATGGAATGGTTTTTACACAGATGATAACCCTGCCTTCTCGCCTCCTGCTAGGGAAGGGTGAGCACGGGAAACCTTACCCCCTCACTGAAGACGACCACGATGACTCAGCTTACAGGGAAAATGGTTTCAATATTTTTGTCAGCAACAATATCGCTCTGGAGAGGTCTCTGCCCGACATTCGTCATGCTAAGTGAGTATCAGCATGCCAGTGCGGGTGGTTTCTTTTTGTTTAGCTAATTAGTTGTATTATGTTTAAGATGTCACTAATGTTTTTGCCCTAATAATATTATAGAAACTTTTCTGTTTCATAGTCTTAAATAGGTCTGCTTTAAATTGGAATGATCTTTAAAATTCTAAAAGAATAGCGCCTCTAAAACTTAAGACACATGTTTGTTATTGAGTCCACTGTATTATTTCCATTAAAAATGAAACGTTTTTAGATAATACCCATACCGTTACATTTGATCACATAGATTACGAAGCAAACAAGTTTTTTATTTTTTCTTGTGGTTAGTGCTGTCAGAATGTGTGTGTATATGTACTTTCTATTAGCTTCATTCTTACACCGGTCGTAGTCAGTGCCATTACAGTTACATCTTCCATGAAGAATGCCTGAAATAAATGGATCCATAATTCAAAAGTAATGGCAGTTGCTCAATTTTCTGTCACTTTATGAATTGCTTGTGGCTTGTCAATCGACAGTGAGTTCGGTTTTTACTGAATTAATAGCTAAATGTTATCGTGTAAAGGGAAACAAGAATAATCCCTCTTCTCTGTCCACACCTACCTACTCCTAACATTGCTTAAAGTACATTGCTTTTTTTCCCTTAGTTTATTATGGTTTTCTCGATAGCATACATAATGCCAAAAGTATGCCATAGAATGTGATCAGAATTTGAAGTTGTGGAATTCTACGTATTTGAGAAATCTATTCAACTATAATATGTTTAATTCTCCCCCACCTCACTCTTCCTTTGGCACCACTGTTATGACATAAAGAAAATTAGAGAAAATAAAATAAGGGGCAATTAATAAAAGTAGGAGTAGGAATTTAAATTAAACCAGTAATGTACAGTAAATAAAACTCTTAATTTTGTGCAAGAATAATTAACCTTTGCAAAAAAATATGGTTTGTATTTTACTTGCCCTATTGTGCCTTTGTAAATTCATTTTAAAATATAAAAGAATTACTGGTTTCCCCCTCAGGTTTTATGAGAATGTGCATTTCCCAATATAGTTAAGCAGAGGATTAATATGAAGAACAAATAAATTTTTCCCTAAACGAAATGCTTCATACATGGGTCTGGCCCTTCCAGGTAGCCAAATTATTCCCAGGCCACCTGAAATTATCTACAGTAATTCCCACTGACCTAGAACATGTCTAGTTATGAGAAATTGTAATACCTAATTGTACACCATCAAAGATGCATTAAATTGCATTGTTGGCATAATAAATATGCTCAGAGAATAATTTCCATCCACCTCCTCTCCCACCCCCACACTTCCAATCTTTGAATGTGTGTTCAAGTGGAAAGAGTTGCAGATGGAGACAATGCAAAAATCACTGAAGTCAAAACACGGTTGATATTCCCATTCTCCTCAGAGACTGTATTTCCAATTTAACTGCCACCTTTCGGAGAAAGATGTTCTTAGGCAATAATGGAAAATGAAATTTTAAAATGGAAAGAAAAATACTTTAGAAATTTTATTAGAGTCACCGAGATTGCAGTATCAGAGGACATTATTATAGATGTCAGGGAATAAAAATGTGGCTACAATATGTTCTGTGACCATATTTTTACTTATTTATTGAGGCTGGGTATCTAATAGGACAAATAGTCAACTACTAGAATGATACCAACAAAGGAAAAAAAACTGAGAATGTTGGAGATAGATGACTACAAGGTGTTAAGTGTGAGATACAAAAATGATATTAACCTGGTTCCTCCATTTTTTCTGACTCTCAGTGAGGCAGGGAGATCTGAAGTTGCCTCTGATTTTGTCAGGATCCTACAAGCAGGAAAACCAAGAGTCAAATTTGCAGGGATCCCACTGTTTAAAATCCTACACTTTTGACCTCATCTGTGCTTCTCAAAATGCAGGCACACATAACTGTAAGGGTGTGCAGCTCTGTGTAAATGGCACTTGAAATTAAAAAGCAACTTGACACCTATTCCAGTGTTATCAGTTTAATAGGCTGCAGGTGAATGGCCACAGCGTGTTTATATGGATGGGCTCTTGGAAGAGAATGCAAAATGTATGTGACTTGCAAGTGTTCTCTACCCATTTATAAATTCACATTCAGTAAAAAAAAAATCATAGTTCTAAAAAAGAATCAGTCTTACTTTTTGCAGCAGCATGGATGGACCTAGATGGTTTTATACTAAGTAAAATAACTTAGAGCAGTGGTTCTCAACCTTGGCTGCACATTAGAATCACCTGGGAATCTTTTTAAAATCCTGATTTCTGGGCCTCATCCTCTGGAAATTCTGTTTCTTTGTTACTAATGTTGTGGCCCCACTCCATAACAAAGAAACAGAATTTCCGGAGGATGAGTCCCAGAAATCAGGATTTTGAAAGAGAGAGAAAGGAGAGTCTAAGTGTAGACTAGTTTAACAGCACTGACTTAGAGAAAGACAAATACCATATGTTTTCACTTATATGTGGAATCTGAAGAACAAAACAAACGAAAAAAATAGAATCAGACTCATAGACACAGAGAGCATACTGACAGTTGACAGATGGGAGGAGGGTTCGGAGGGCTGGGTGAAAAAGGTAAAGGACTTAGGAAGTACAAATAGTTATAGAATAGCCACATGGGTGTAAATTATAGGGAGTATAGTCAGTAATCTGCCCTGTAAGTCATGTTTTTAGGTGTTTTGATTTGCTTAGTGCATATTCTAATGAACTGTGAAGAATTTTTAGAACATGAATGATTTCAGAAATTCCAAATCAGAAAGAAATTTGTCCTTTCTTCTTCACTAGCATTAAATGAACCACTTTTTTTGGCTTTATTATATAATTGAGTTAGTAATAGATTCCATAAAGTAGGAGCCATAGAAGAAGGGAAGTATGTTGGCCTGTGTGCAATAATTTGATCATCTTAATAATAAATTCCAAGCTTTTCATTAATGTTTTACCTAAATTGGTTGCATTTTTATCAGCAGTTTTTTCACCTCCCAATTTTGTAAATTACATTTTCGTTTTTCGTACTATTTATGCTTTGGTATTATCAAATTTTCCACTTCTTTTTCCATAGTATTGGTCCTACATTTCTGGTTGACTTTTGCACATTTTAAAAGATATGTCTACATATTTTAAATACTCCCTTCTTTAGTTACTGCCTGATTATGTCTATATCCATAGTGCCTGGGCTCAACCTGAGATATGTCCTTAGAATATATTTTCTTTATATTTTATTTAATGTAGTGTTGATAAGAATTTTGCTATGAGAGCTTCTGCATGGCCAATGTCTAGTTAATAGTTATCTGGCTCATCTGGCTTCATTTTACCAACTTCAGAATTTCCCCACCTGTATATTGATGGTGCGTTTTTGTTTTTGTTTTTGTTTTGTTGTTTTTTTCAGTCAGTCATCTGGCATGCTACATCTTTGTATGCTATAAAACATCTTATTTTCACCTCCAGCTCAAGATCAGAATTATAAATAGGGAACAGAAAACCATGAAGGATGGATAGTCTGCAAACTGATAAGCTTATGCATATATATATTGTTAGCAAGATAAGATTTAAGAATATTTAAGTATTACTCCATAGATATGAATAAATTAATCAGTAGTAACCACATACTCCCTATAACATGGTATAAATAATATGTGTAAGGTGAAATTACATCTATGAAAAGAGGAAATGCATGAGATTAGGACACAACAGAGCCATGTGAAAAGGAGAGTTGATGAAGGCTTTTCAGAAGATCCCAGTCAATGCATCAGTAACATCAGGTTAACTTTATTGCTGTTATGAAAGAACACATGTTCATACAGGTCCAGTTGATGCACATGTACATTAATTAAGATGCAGTTATGAGGTGGCTTTGTAACTGGGATATTTTTGAATTAAAATAGTTATACTCCGGCCTGGCTGGTGTGGCTCAGTGGTTGAGCGTGGACCTATGAACCAGGAGATCACAGTTGATTCCTGGTCAGGGCATATACCCGGGTTGTGGGCTCAATCACCAGTGGGGGGGCATGCAGGAGGCAGCAGATCAGTGATTCTCTCTCATCATTGGTTTTTCTATTTCCTTCTCCCTTCCTCTCTGAAATCAAGAAAACATTAAAAAAAATTAAATGTTTTACTCTGAATTGTGACTTTTCCCTTTCTTTTTTAAATTAAATATATGTTATTGATTTCAGAGAGGAAGGGAGAGGGAGAGATAGAAACATCAGTGATGAAAGAGAATCATTGATGGGCTGCCCCCTACATGCCCCACATTGGGGATTGAGCCCTCAACCAGGGCATGTGCCCTGACTCCTGATCTCCTGGTTTATGGGTCGAAGCTCAACTATGGAACCATACCCGGCTGGGCAAAAATGTGCATTTTCCCCCTCTATGCCAAAAACTACACAGAACTTTGGGAGGTGCTAGCTTCCTTTCATATTTTTATTCTGATTTACTTGTGAAGTGATGAAGTATCTTCTTTCACCAAGTTTACAAGTGAATTTTGAAGGAAATTAAGCTAAAATGACTGTCATGTCCTCCTGTCAGGTTTGAATACTATCACAGAGGGAGATGGGAAACATGTCCTTTGAATCAAATGCTCTTCCAGCCTAGGGTATGTCTAAATTCGACCAAACAAACAAACAGAACCCTCCCCCTCCCCTCCCCCCACACACACAGAATGCAGACTGGTGCAGCCACTGTGGAGAACAGTATGGCGTTTCCTCACAAAACTAAAAATGGAACTTCCATTTGACCCAGTGATCCCACTTCTAGGACTATATATCCCAAGAAAACAAACACCATCAGAAAGGATATATGCACCCCTATGTTCATAGCGGCACAATTTACCATAGCTAAGATCTGGAAACAGCCTAAGTGCCCATGAGCAGATGAGTGGATTAGAAAACTGTGGTATATCTACACAATGGAATACTATGCTGCTGTAAAAAAGAAGGAATTCTTACCATTTGCAACAGCATGGATGGAACTGGAGAGCATTATGCTAAGCGAAAT